AATGCATCTCTATGTGCGTGTGTGTGTGAGCGTGCGTGCGTGTGTGTGCATGCGAGCGTGCGTGCGTGTGTGTGCGTGCATGCGTGCGTGCGTGTGTGTGTGTGTGTGTGGCCGCCAGTTCGTCTGTAGCGCCTAACCGCGACTCCGAGAAGAGATCGTCTCGCCAGTGTCACCACCTCCTTTGTGTTGTTGTTGTCGTTGTTGTTGTCGTTGTTGACTATCATGACGATGACGTTCCAATATCAAGTGACTCACTCCAGAATGTTTATTTCGGTTGTTCCTTTTCATGAGGATGGTGATGATGATGATGATGATGATGATGGTGGTGTTGGTGACGATGATGATGATGATGATGTTGATGATAATTATGCAGTAGTTTGCAATTATCCTGTCAATGAACCTCTCTGCATTGAAATTAACCAAAGTTACTAAGACAGCTATACGAAGATTGTCTCTCAGGGTCGTGTTTGCCAAGCCTGACTAGGAATGATACAGCATCTTAACAGAAACATGGGAATTTTTTAAAATAGAATTTGAACACACAAATCAACCCACGTCTTTTGCAACGGCAAAAGCCCAACTATTAACTTTAAGACAGAGACTGTGACAGCAATTCACTTCGAAGTTTAGTTCTTCTCTTAGAAACAGAAACACAATTACAGTCACATAGACTTAGTGCCAGGAAAAAGCCAGAAATATAGACACAACATAAGGGACCGTGGGAGTTATGACCAAACTCTGTCGCCTTCCATTCCCCTTTCAATGACAATGAGCATTTACTATGAACAATGAATTAAAAGCAAAGGCAGAGAAATTGCTGTTGGGTACAATTCTTTTCATTCATTTATTAAAACAGCACCAATCTAGAGAGCTGAAAAAAACAAAACAAGGCATAAGTGTTACTGCCCTTGATCAATACAAAATGCTCAAGGAGAATAATTCAGAAAAAATTAACAACTGTAGAAGCAAAGAGTTGAATAACACAATTTCAGTCACCTGCTACATCCAAATATAACATGTCCTACTCATAAAATCGAAAATTAAGAAAATTCTGCAAATAAGCTTATTAATTATTAAAAATGTAATGAACACTTTTAAAAGGCAAGTTACTTTATAAGGAATATTTGAAACCAGTACCACTGTGAAGTGTGGAGTTCACTTAAAAAAGGTTAAATTGAAATCTGTAGGACCACTAGAATTTCTTCAGTTGAACCATGTTTTCAGTTTAGACAGGTTGCTCAAAAAGAGAAGAAAAAAAAGGTATTTATTTTATTTTCTTTCCGTTTACATCTGTTTTCAAATTAACCAAGTTCAGTTTAGCAGACTCCACTGTAATACTATATTCTATATTTAGTAGGCCCACATCTTTAAGAATTTCCTCACAATTTGCAGAGTAATACCATACTACATTGTGCCAAATATTTACTTTAAGTTTAAGCTATCATGTTTAAATTATCCTTCCATTAAATAAAACAGAAATGTAACAAATAGGGCATACCCCTATCTTGTGAAGGTACGGTACTGTGCACAGTGTTATCATTTACTTTAATACTTTAAGGTGGACTTTCAACGACTTGCTTTATAGCCTACTCAATTATCTTATGCTACCAATATTATAAGTACTAGACATGCACTGTTACATCATCAGAGAAAACAAACCAATATTAAGAACATTGCCAAGCTCTGGCAATTGAGCTGATTGATTTTGCACAAAACCAAACAAAGACCGTTTCAGATGAATTCATGGAAAACTAATACCACTTGTTTGCAGCAAGGAGCAAGCATGTATACTGTCATTTCAACTGAACACCAAGTATCTTACGAAAATCATGTTTTGTTTCCAATTAATGAGACAACCTATAAACTTCAATTCAAATTGCACAAACTCAGCTTGTTTGTATATTCAATATAGTGAAATATGTAGAGCAACCTATGATAGAAAAATGTGGGCATTTTCACTTAATCAAACCTTTAGAAAAGCTGATTTGACCCAGATTTGCATATCTTCATAACCTTCAACGTGCACTTTAGAGTTCTATTTTTTAAGTTTTGAGAAAATTCTTTTAAAGGAAAGCCCCCAGATGAGAACCAGAATTAAACTATCATAAGACACTTCTTAAACTTAATGTCTCAATTATTCAAATAACGGCTTTATCTCGAAACCCCCAGGAATTCACTTGGGCAATATGGAATGATACTGATACACAAAGCTATTTTTATCTAAACAGTACGACCTAACAATGTCGTAACTCAACTGTAGTATGTAATAGGGAACTGGGACAATTGTATCTTTCGGAAAAAAAGGAAAACGTTTTTTGTGAGAACAGTAAGAGGATGCTACAGTCCCTAAACCCATAGTGCACACTGCATGCAGAGTAAATGTGAGGCATCATTTTTAAATCAGCACTTGTCAAAATTAATTAAATCCTCCATATTGGCAATTTTTATAAAAGTTTTGTTTTATGGCTCAACACCTTTAACGTCCTTATAAAAACACATTTACATGTGAATTTTACAAAAATGTGTAAATTTTCAGTTTTCAAAGACTCTCAAGCTATAAAAGTTACCAAACTTTAGAGGCCATTTCTATCCCCACCTCTTTTAATCGGGAATATCTTGACTTCTATTCAAGATAGATGGGTAGGCCTACTTCTTAAATAAAAAGCATATGGCAAATGAATAAGCTTTCAGATGATACCAATAACTCCACATGCCAAAAAATCGACGAGTGTCTGATTCCACCGCATTACGACACAAACAGTGTTACTGAACTAATTTCAACTGGCTCTGGATATCACACAGATTCCATAGATTTGGATTGGAAATTTAGTTCAAAAATACAAAATTATGTCAATTGAAATAATTACTTGCTGAAGTACACAGACATGAAAAGTTAAAAGCAAAATGGTTTATTTTTTTTGGTGCATGGTCATAAAGACATAACTGGTGTAGAAATGGCTACATTTTGTTTGTGCAAACATGTCTCTTTCACTCTAATACATATCTTGAAAAAGTAATAAACTACACCACACAGATGTGGCAGTGCACAAAACACTGTCGTAAGCTGACAAAATGTCTTTTCTTTTTTCATTCACAACAGTTTCGAGATAAAGAAGCTTTTTGTCAGCGTAACCATTTAAAAAAGGCGTTCTTCTGAAATTTGAATTCTAATTTATCCAAACAAGTCAGTTTCACTTTGTTTTTTTTCACACAAGTATGTTAACTGATTAAGTTTTCAATTTAGCAAATTAAAAAATTTGGCGCTAAAATGAAAGAAGGCATTTTGTCAGCTTACAGCAGTACCTTGAAAACTGTCAGTCCTGTGTGGCTCATGATTAAGTAAAGAGTGCTATTCACTTTCTCTCCTCAAGGTTTCACTTTCCATCTTTCTTTCATTCATCCTCCTTATCCTACTTTCCTTTCCAAACTCAGGGTCAAGAGATGTGTTTGCGTCTCAAGTGTCAGTCTGCTTGCTTTTCAAGACTTCTGTACCGTAAAAAGCAATATCAACATAAAGCTTCAGACGTCTCACTCAAGACAAAATGTATCTCAAGTAAAATTACAATACATGTACATCAACATTTACATTTATCACAAATACATTTAACCTGACCTGCATACGAAACAAATCAGGCTTAAAATGTATTGTACATATGGTTCCATAAAAGTTACTAAAAATAATGCATCTCTATGTATATACAACTCTAAAATGTGTATCATACTTAAGACTTTGAGGAATACTGCATGATTGACATTCCTAACTACTAAGCTTTGATATTACACACAATACATTTATTTGATAAGAACAAGCACTTCAAACGTTCATTTGACGAGAAAGAAGTTAATGTAAAAAAACTCTCCAAAAGGAAAAAGATGCAGAAAATGTGACCACAGTACACTCCATTGACCATTATCTAAGCTAACCAAACATTTCATTCCTTGGCCATATTGGAATTTAAAATTATATGGGTTTACCACCACTCACAACACTGTAATGCATTTATGAGGCAGGATCTTCAAATCTAATGTCCATCATTGAACTCCGTAAACAGCCCAAGTTCAAGAATGTCCAAAGATCAATTCGAAATGGGAGGGGGGGGGGGGGGGGCGCAGCGTGATAGCAGCAACTGAGCTTACAGTGGGCATCTGCATCACAACCCAGCATGACATCAGCTGAGCTAACAACACACTCAACCATTTTGTACAGTTCTATCCGCTCATTACTTCCACAATATTAAAAGGGGAGAGGTAAATATAGAAACGCATGCGTTGTATCACACTTGGTATCAGTACTCTAGACTGCCAATCATGCTCATATCCTGAAAGGTTGATTGACAGTGAAGTCCAGTACTGCTGCTAGCTATGTTAATCATATCTCCCTCTCTCCTCTCTTCCCTTCTCTTCATCCCTTTGTCTCAGTTTTGTCTGTCTTACGAGAATTTATTGTACAGATCTCTCATATTCAGGCATTTTCCAAACATTATAAAGTACATTGTTTTATAGAACAGCATTATTTCCTGCAATTCCCACCAGGCATACAAACCACTCAAAGTGACACTCTCATACACATACACCCACACTCGCACAGACAAAGTACAAACATAATATGTGCACTCGCACACACACACACACACACACACCCA